TTAATAGTCCAATGAGTTGGCCATTTTGGAATGTATCTTTTCGGATACGTTTGATAAGGTCGGGTATTTTGATGGCTCAAAAGTAATGTGAATGACGCGCTTTGGCCTATAGGTTTGGGAACTCTCGCCTTTGGTCCCCAGATAAGCAAACTGGTCCCTCGGTTGATTGGGATGTATACGAATGCTTACCTAGTCAGGACTTTCGGGCTACCGGCACCTCCCCCTTCCAGTTACTACGCGTCCATTACTATGATCCTACCCAACTAGAGTGGATGACTTTGAATTTCCTATGAGCTCTAAGGAATATATATGTATATACAAAACTACTTGAATATGTGTACGATTTTCAGAGAAAGACGAGAATATTCACCAATGTATGCACACATATAAGTGTCAGGAGTAATACGTATGCACTTAAGGGAGCAATTAACACACAAAGGTATTCCTAGGAGTTTCTAAGTGCGAATTGCATGCAGTTGTGTGTGCATTTTATAAACTAGCATACGAGAGGACCCTAGAGGCTATAGACTAGGTCAAGGCAATTAACCTAATTCCCTATAGTCAAGGGCTCTGATACCAATCTGTCACACCCCGATCCTTGTCGGAATCGATCAAGGCGTGATATATTGTTCAAAGTCTCATGACAACTATGTTATAATATGATTAGATTCAATTAAGTACTATGCAAACAAGATCCACAACATACAAATACAAATCCAAATGCGAACAACATTTATTACATCAAATTTAAATTGTCTTGTGGATTTCTAAGGCACAACCTATTTTTCATCAATCTTCATTCTTCAAATCTGCATCATGGGTAAAAACAGGTCAACTACGAGAGTTGGTGAGTAATCTAATTTTAGTAGAGAAAATTGTGAAGTTGAAACATTTATAATTTGAAATTTGTTTTCTTTTGAAGTCGACAAACAATTGTATTTGAGATAACGGTTTATAAATCAAAATTGATTAACAATGATAACAACAACAATAAGTCCTCACCCTATATATACATATGTGTATATATATATATATATATATATATATATATATATAGATATATATATATATATAGGATGGAGCATCTTATCATCAAACACACTCAACCACGTGCGATCAATCACCTTAGCGTCCCAAGGCGGGGTGGTCAACCCAATAGCGCTATTATTGTCCATAACGTACCTCAAGAATACGGGCATAGTCATGGAGATTAGACTAAAAATGATAATGCACTACAAGTACATGTAGCGTAAACAAACAATAGTTATACAATTAATGACTCACGTATAAATGTCCCAACAATGTCTCAATTGTGATAAAAACAATAAAATGAAGTTGGAACATATTAGAACCACATGATACACCCCAAAAGTATTGAAAATTATAAAATATGGGGTAGATTACTCACATTAGTCCCAAAACGAAATGCGTGTGTCGTACGATAGACGGTTCGGGTCAAAATGGCGTAGAACCTAATATAATTAATAGGTTTTGGTTTAGGAACTGCTAAACGAGAATGAAGTATTAATACAAATAATTAGACACATATTCTTATATTAGATGAATTAACAATAATTCATTTTGATTAGAATATTAAGGTATTCATTTGTTAAATGAATTTTAAATTGAATTAGTAAGTAATTTATATTTTCAATTTAGGCCAGATTTTAATAATTTCTTATTAAAATAATAACTTGCCCAATTATAATTATTTACAGATTTTAACAATTATTTATATGAAATAATCATTAAAATGCATTTTTACATGCTTAAATACTTAGGAAAATGGTTTTAAATAGTAAACAGTATTGAAAAATTATGAAATTATTAGGAAATCATTATTTCATACAATATGAATTACTGTAAAATTTTTATATTTTTCTGAACTGTTTTAGTATTTATTTAATATTTTAATGATTAAACAACACAAAATTCAGAAAAAATAGTAAATTATTCCCAAAAATTCTGTAAACTTAACCATAGTTTTATAACATGATATAGAGCCCAGTGTATAAGTTTCAGATATTTGTGACTATGGGAAGTATTTTTTATATATTTCATTATTAATTAATCAATAAAATCATAAATAATAGTAAACAGTAATATAAATGCATGAAACTTCATATATCATGTTTAATCAATATATAGGTCATCCCAGAATTTTCTCAGAATTTATTGAATGCAACAAGTATTTTATGTGAATTATTGCCCTACTTTATTGCAATAATTATAATAATTCAATAAAAATAAGTTATTTTCTGAAAATTTCCAGAACTTCTTATTTTATTGATGGTATTCTGAGAAAAATCAGGTTTATGCATAAAATGAGTTTTAGATATTTTGGTGGATTTAATTTGTTTCTTGTATGAATTTGAAACTTTTAACAACATACATTGATGAATGCTTCAAGAGGGATGAAGATTTGAGTATAATAGATTGTTCTTGGCTGGAATATGAGTATCTCTTGGATGAATTTCGAGATTGAGAGTGAGAGAAAGAATAGAGAAGGTTTAAGTGGTGAAGAGAATAATATGTTGGGAGAAAAAGGAAAGGAAAGTGGATGGGAGGTGTGAGTGGGAGACCATGGGAATAATCTTTTTGCTTTTGGTGGTCTTCATAATTTCCCACTAACACAAGCATCTTTTATTTAATTAATATAAGAGTTTTATAAAATTTAAAGTAAAGTTTATAAAAATAGAGTTTTATAAAATTTAATGGAAAGTTTATAAAAATGGAGTTTTATAAAAGATAGGTTATTATTTGATTATAACAATCTACTTTGATTTGAAGTTTAATTATATCATTCAAGTTTGATTCTTTTAATTTAATTAGAGCATTATACTTTGATTTGATTTTAATATGGTATCAAAATTTACTTTGATTATAGTTATAACGTTGTACTATACTATGTTGCTATTAACATCAATTTATATCGTAGTGTGTGGGTTTTGATCCTATTAGTGTCAAGTAATCTTGAGTAGGGTTTATTAAACTTCCAATTGGGTTGGGTTGACCCGAATCCATTTTAGGCGGATGGCCATTACTACCGCCATTAATTCCCGCTCATAAACTGACTTGAGTCTTGCACGACTTCCCAAAACATGGCTAAAGAAGGCTAGAGGTCGGTTTTCCTGCATCAAAACAGCCCCTACTCCATACCCCAACGCGTCCGTCTCTACTTCAAAAACTTTAGTAAAATCCGGTAATGCAAGAACCGGTACCCGAGTCATTGCTAATTACAATTTCCGGAAAGCTTCTGTGGCTTTGGGGTTCCAACAAAAATTGTCTTTCTTCAACTGTTCGGTTAGTGGCCATGCTATTCTCCCATACCCCTCTACAAACTTTCGGTAATAACCTGTGAGTCCTAAAAATCCGCGCAGTTCCCGCAATGTTGTGGGGATCGGCTAATCCATCATCGCTGTAATCTTAGCCGGGTCAGCGGATACTCCTTCCTTTGATATGATATGGCCTAAATACTCCACCCTTTGTTGTGCGAAAGAACATTTTTTTTATTTGCATACAAGCTATTAGCACGCAATAAATCAAATACTTGTCGTAGATGTTGTCCATGTTCCGTCTCGGTCTTACTATAAATTAAAATGTCATCAAAAAACACTAATACAAAGCGTCGCAAGAAAGGTTGGAATACCTTATTCATTAATGACTGGAAAGTTGCCGGGGCGTTAGTCAAGCCGAAGGGCATGACTAGAAACTCGTAGTGACCTTCGTGGGTCTGGAATGCGGTTTTTGGCACATCTTCTAATTTCATCCGGATCTGATGGTAGCCCGTCTTGAGATCCAATTTTGTGAATATGATGGCTCCATAAAGTTCGTCTAAGAGTTCATCGATTACCAGAATTGGAAATTTATCCAAAACAGTAACTTTGTTCAAGGCGCGATAATCAACACAAAAACGCCAACTACCATCTTTTTTCTTCACTAATAAAACCGGGCTAGAGAATGGACTTGTACTTGGCTGGATCACACCTGCTTCCAACATCTCGTGCACTAATTTCTCAATCTCATCCTTTTGAGCATGCGGGTAACGGTAAGGTCGTACACTAATGGGGTTTGTACCGGTTTGGAGCACGATACTGTGCTCATGGCTGCGAAGAGGTGGTAGCCCAGGCGGCATATTAAAAACATCCTTGAACTCTGTAATGACGGCCTGGACAGTTGATGGAATCGTTGGAGGTGCCTCGACTGTCATGTCTGCTTGACTTAAATGTACCAGAAACCCTTCTTTTTCATGCTGTAGTTCTTTAAACAAACTTTTACAAGATATTAGTGTTTTAGAGAGACTAGGATCCCCCAGAATAGCCACACAACGATCACCCACCCAAAATTGCATTCTTAGCTCTCGCCAGTTAACTATCATATTACCAAGAGTCTGTAACCATTTAATACCCAAAATCACATCAGATCCTCCTAACTCCAACGGGTAGAGATCTTCTATAATCTGTAACTCGGGTAGGCTAAGGACTACCCCCAGACATGTTCCTCGACTTTGTTCCATCATGTCATTCCCGAGCCTTACTCGTACCGACCCGGTATTTGAAATTTCCATACCTAGCTCCCGTACCACCTGTTTTGAGATAAAGTTGTGGGTGGCCCCACTGTCTATCAACACGAGCACTTGCACCCCACCCACATCACCTTTAATCTTCATTGTTTGCGGGGGGTGTGAGACCACTAACCGAGTTGAGGGATACCTCCACCGTGTCGAGGTGTGCATGCTCGGTTTCTTCTTCTTCCTCGTTCTCGCCTTCCTCGCCGTCAACTATCAATACTTGAAGAGTTTTACTGGGGCAACGATGGCCCGGTGTGAACTTCCCATCACATCGGAAACATCTTCCTTTAGCTTTTTTCTCCGCAAATTCCGCCTCAGTCAGTCGTTTAAATTGATTTCCAGAACTAGTGGTGTACTTCTTGTCACCTGTGATCGTTGAGGTTGTCGCAGGTGATGAGTATGATTGACGTGTTGGCCCGTTGTTACTTCCTCACTGTGGGTTTGTGCCTCCTCCAGTCTTAGCCCCTCCTGTAGCTTTATTGTCATCAAGCATTATAGCGATCCGCATGGCTCTGGCTAGGCTCTCAGGTTCCATAATTCTAACTGTAGAACGTAATTCTGGCTTCAGCCCCTTGATGAAACTGCCTTCTAGAACCTTTTCTGGTATGTCGGTCAACTGTCCTGCTAACCTTTCAAAGAGACAAACGTAATCGCGAGCCGTTCCTTCCTGCTGAATCGTCAGAAATTGTTCATACAAACTTCCCTCCTGTGATGGTTGGAACCGTTCCAGCAGTTGTTGTTTTAGATCCGCCCATGTAGCACACGGAGTTCGCGCTTCATTCCACCTGTACCATAACAATGTCGACCCGTCCAAACAAATTGTTGCCGCCCTTAACTGGTCCTTCTCGTCAATCCCTTGAACCTCGAAGAAGCGTTCCACCCGATAAATCCAACCGTACACATCTTCCCCTTCGAAAATTGGTGCTTTGAGTTTTCGAAATTCCCAACCCAATCTCCCCGCTCCTTTGTTCCTGTCGTTGTTTTTGGGAGGTTTCCACCCCGATGCATCATCATCAGAATTGAATGATCCGAATTCAAACGCAGGTCCTTTGTTTGACTTCTGTCCCTCCAAAGTGGTCGTGAGATTCCCAATAGCCTTCAAGATGTCGCTGAACTGCTGGGCGTTTTCCTTCCTGGTAGCTTCAAAATCCTCCCCCAGTTTCGACACTGTAGCTTCCAGCGCAGAGATCTTGGTGGTGTTGTTTGTCATTGTTATCAGAATCGACCGCTCTGATACCAATTGATAGACTCTGGATCCAAACCCGAAGGCAAGACCCGGAATTGGCCTGTGATTCGAGTAACAGGGGGTACTCCAAACTAGTCTGGGACTTTTATTAATCACATAAAAACAAAAACAAACAATAGAGTACCATATTTATAGTATTTTACTAGGGATCCTAAAATAACTCAAATACCTACCTTGCTCAATACTTTAAAGATAAATCCTAATTTAATAAAAAACATATCCTAACTTATTTAAATAATTAATCTAAATAAAGTAAGATGGCAAACTCCACCATATCAATCTTATTGTCGCCTTTGGTAGACCCTACCAAACCTTCGGGGCGTATCATGTTGTTACTAGTTGTTGTCCTAATGCACTTATTCCTCACTAATCCTCATAGTTTAAGCCTAAGTTTAGAATTTTCAAACCTAATTCACTTTAATTATGAATTCAATACCAATTTGTAACACATTATATTTTATGCATTTAAATCCCATAATTTTTAAACATCTTATGACATAAAGTCATATCTAGTAAAATTTGGTCCCATTATAAACATTTTAGAAGTAATAGTTTGGCTTGGGGGTCATAACTTCATATCAATTCAAATTAAAGTATGCAAATTAGAGTGAAGCATATTACATACATACAAAAGATAAATCGAATTAAGTAGCTCAATTACAAGTGCTATACTTCTTATAACATCAAAAATAGCATCAAAAATAACATCAAAAGTATATCTTCGTGCTATACCGAAAATTCAATACTTCTAATGACCAAGTCCTTTTATTTCTACGTTACCTGAACCTAAAATATATGGCATTAGAAAAAGAATACGTAAGACAAAAATCTTTCATGAATTACACTAATTTTAGACACAAAATATTTTCAAACATATTAATCATTTTCACTTTAGAAATATGAGAATCATAAACTTCATTAGAAAATATTTATCAAAATCCTTTGTTTTAGATAATAGGTTTTCAAGACATATAATAAGCTTTACTTGGAAACATAAACTTATGAACCTTAGTATAGCTTCACTTGACTATGAATCATATTATAATCATCTCTTGAAAACATAAGCTTATAGAACATAATATAAACTTTAAAAACACATGTCATGAGTAAATGGTATGTATACAATGCATCGCCACATTCCATTATAAGCTATTGTGATTCATTGTTTCATTCATATTTATCCGTTGTGTACCAATTCATCGATTTCATTCATAGTTATTGGCTGATTCATTGATTTCATTCATAAATATCGGTTATGTGCCAATTTTATTCATTGATAATATTCGTTCATTGACTTCATTCTACCGAATTATTGTTCTTAGGGCTCGATCATAATCGATAGTCGGTGACAATATGATAAGTTTATCAAAATAGAAATAAGAGATGAATCTACTAAGGTATCATAACAGGTAGGGCGTGTTTGGCAAAATTAGCGTGTAGCGGTTAGCTGGTAGCGTATAGCGTTTTGTTAAATGCTACGTGAAGTAACTTTTGGATGGAACGTTTTGTTTAAATTAAATGCTAGAAACTTTTAGTGTCAAACGAGAATTTTTGTTTAAAACGAGACATTTTATTAAACACTATAAATAAAAAGCTTCCAAACTTTCCATATCAAATTAACATGTAGTCTACTTTAGAGGTGGCAATGGGTCGACCTGGGTTGGGTTCGGGTTCAACCCATTTAATAATTGGGTTGAAAATGTCAACCCAACCCAACCTGTTTATTTAAATGGGTTTGATATTTCCAACCCAACCCAACCTTTTAGATAAATGGGTTGTCATTGGGTTGACCTGTTTATGTAGTTCCCGACCCAACCTATTAAATAAGTTGGTTAAACTTGGATTAACCCATTTAAAATTAATTAAATAAATTATGTAATTAAATATTATACCATTTAAATTATAAAACGTAAATAAAACTTCATAATTATGACAAAAGCACAATCGTAATTCATAAATACAAATAAATTGTTCAAATAACATTAAAAATGTTTAGTTTCAATGTGAATTTGGAGAGTAATCGGTATTATCGGTGCTAAAAAAAAGGATGGAAATTTGGATTGAATTTTATTAAACATAGATAATAATAATGCAACATTATAATTTACAAATTAATACTTTGATTAATACATGATAATATAAAAATAATATTAAATTATATATATATATTAATTAAATAGGTTAGACGGGTTGAAAACGGGTTGATAATTTTTACCCAACCCAACCTATTTAATTAAATAGGTTAGACGGGTTGACCCATTTAAATTAAATGGGTTTAAAATTTTAACCCAACCCGCTAATTTTGGGTTGGATTCGGGTTGGGTTGACGAATTGGGTCGATTTTTGCCCGTTCTAGTCTACTTTGTTGCGTGATTTAATGGGGTCAAGCGTCCCGAAAACTCCCTTTAGGAAGTTCCATTTCTAAAGAAATCATTAATTGCCAGGTAATATCCAATAAAAGTCCTCTAAGATAATATTTATTAATTATTTTTTCTTTGATGTCGATATTATTATTTCCAATTTCCTTACTTCCCCAAAATAAACAAAAGGCCAACGTACAGAAAATGACAAAGTTAATAAATAAGTGGGTATCTTGCATATGTCTTTTTAATTGAGAGAGATTTGTCGCGTTTATACGAAGAGACGATTTTTGTATGTTATAAATTAAAAATAAAAGTTAAAAGTATTCGTACCATAATATAAAAAAACACCATGTTAGGCAAAAAAAAAAATGTCAAACGCAAGTACGCAACCATGTTTTTGATATTTTTTCTTGACTTGTTAAAAAAAACATAACAATTCATTTTAAAATCTTGGGATCTGATAAATAGCAAAACAAAGAAATGGACGACACAAAATGAATACAAACAAATGTTTATTTATTTGTTTATCATATCATGTTATTTGTATTTATTTCTAGTATAATATTGTATATTTTTTCATTAAGATATTATATTTTAAAAAATTATATATTTATAATATTATAATTTCATTATTATAATAACCTTATATTATAGAAAACTATCAAATTACTTTTAAAAAAATTATTTTTATTATTGTTATAACTTATAACTAAATAGATTTATTAATTGCTTTTTTCAGAGTAGTTTTTAATTTTAAAGCAATTATATGTAATTTACTTGTACGGTATGCATAAATATTTGTACATTTATGTTTGATTTGAGATTTTCAACTTTGAACGTCAGTATCAATGTTTTCGCGCAAACCATCGTCTCAAATCCCAATTCTCTCTCTCTTTCTCTCTCTCTCTCTCTCTCTCTCAAATTATTAATCAATTCTTTACTATAGAAAGGGTCTTCCTTCGTACAGTGGTAAGCTCCATCGTTTCTTTCAAAACTTCACTGAAATTGGGTTCTTGAGTTGACCCATATCGAATCTCGACGGAGTATTTGCAATCGCCGGCGACTTGTTTGAGATTTTGAGAAACCGGCGAAGATTGGCTTTGAGTTTTCTTGAAATAGTGATCGAGAGTGTTGTTTGACTTATTATGTAGTCAAAATCGATGAAGTCTTTAGCAATGTGCTGTTTTGGGGAAAAAATATGAATCTGATTTGTTGTTTGTTCCTCTAAATTTCTCCAATGGGTATTTGTTTCAGTTCCGAATACGATGCAAATCATTCTTTCCAGACGACAAAAGGTACTCTTTTTTTTAACATTTTACAAGATTCTCATAAGCGTTTTTTATGTACGTTTTAGAGTAGATTGGATTAGTTTTGATAAAGATTCACGTATTCATATTTGGAAGATTTGAAGTCAATTTTTGAAAAATTTCAGGTGAAATTGGACAATATCCGACCAAAGAAAAATGTACATCACCGATTAAACCAAGAATCATGGAATCACCTCACATGAAAAGTCCTAGAAATGGAATGGTGATCAAAAAAGATGTTAAAGATCTTCGCAAGAATCCTGGATATGGTAATCTTGATGTTTTCACATATGAAGAAATGCGAATTGCTACAAAAGTTTTTAGACCAGATCAAGTGTTAGGTGAGGGTGGTTTTGGAATTGTTTATAAAGGTGTTATAGATGAGAATGTGAGACCTTGTTATTCAAAAATTCAAGTTGCTATTAAGGAACTTGATCCAGAAGGAATCCAAGGGGATAGGGAATGGCTGGTATGTACTTTTTGCATGTGTTTCTTTGTCTATATAATCTTTCAAATATTTTGTACTTTTTGTCACATTCAAAATTTGAAATAATAATAATAATAACAATGTTGTTCTTATCTTCTATCATTAAAAATATCCTTAAAAAATTCATTGAGTCTCGTATAACAAACATAGACTCATGGGAATGTATGCAATTTTTCTTGATTGCATTTATGTTTGCACATACACACGTTCATTGTTAATCACAAAGATTAAACATTTGAGAAAAAGGTAAAATGCAAGAAAACGTAACGTACGTTCATTAATTTGTTTATTATATAGATCATACTTCCCATTTCTTTCTATTAAAACATGATGTTATAATTCAAAAATAAATGAAAACATTCAAAGTATAATGTCTTGATAAAAAAATGAAAACATGATGTTATAATACACAAATAAATGAAAAGGAAACATGGATATATAGGGTACAAGATTAATTTTAGTAAACAAAAAAACATAATTTTTATAAATATTCTTATCTTCGTTTCAGACTGAAGTCAATTATTTAGGTCAACTACAGCACCCTAATTTAGTGAAGCTTATTGGCTACTGCTGTGAGGAAGATCATCGGCTTTTGGTGTATGAGTATATGCCATCTGGCAGTTTGGAAGATCACCTTTTCCGTAGTGAGTGCCTAATATTTTATCAAAAATTTTTTTTTATGAAAAAGTGATTTTTTAAACTTTTTCACTTGAATAGATTTTTTTTGGAAATCTTGTGTTATTATGATTTATGACTAATATTGTATTGATGTAAAAAGGAGCATCTGCGACACTGAATTGGTCAAAAAGAATGAAGATAGCTTTGCATGCTGCAAAAGGGCTTGCTTTTCTTCATGATGCAGAAAGGCCGGTGATTTATCGAGATTTCAAAACATCAAATATTTTGTTGGATGCGGTTAGTTTGTATTTAATCCTTAAAAATAATAATAGGGAAAAAACAAGATCTAGAATATTATTCTAATTTTCTACTTGTTCTTATGAAAAAAAAATTAAAATTTCAGGAATTCAATGCAAAATTATCGGATTTTGGACTTGCAAAAGATGGGCCAATGGGAGATCAAACACATGTGTCCACACGAGTTATGGGTACTTATGGATATGCAGCTCCTGAATATATCATGACAGGTGAGTATTGAGTAGGTTGTTCTGTGTTTGACAATGCTATTGATCTCTTTTCTATTTAAAAGACGTAAATGCTCTTTTCATCTTCATAATCGAAAATAGCCCTAGAAAATATCTTTGTAAAAAGATTTGAAACTTCAGATACCTTTTTCCCCAAAAAATAACTAAAATATGTTTTTTTTTTTTATAAAATATATATTTTAAGATTTTATGATTGTTTTGATTCATTTTGCAAACAATTTTTTCTTAAATGCATATAGCATAATTTTTTTTACGAAATGAAATGTGTTTATATGTAAGTTATTTAATGGTGTCTTTGTAAAATTGAAGTTTATTTATATTTTAAAAAAAATATATTCTTAATTAATCAATACGATTGTACTTATTTTTCTCTTCACGCATAAAAAACAACATATTTAAACGGCCCATTCCTTTCGGTCATGAGCCCATGTCTTCTGCACAGATGAGATATCGATAGTCGGTCCATGTCCCACCTTTTTAGGTGGCACAAAAAATTGCAACTTTTTTCCTATCAACGTCAGTCAGCCTAGTAGTCTTAGTCTCTCTCAGTCTGATGCATGTCAAACGCAGTGTCTTGGCTTACAAATATTTTGATGAAAATTTCAGGACACTTGACAGCTAGAAGTGATATATACGGATTTGGAGTGGTGCTTCTTGAGATGTTGATTGGGAGGAAGGCCATGGACAAGAGTCGGCCTAGCCATGAGCACAATTTGGTGGATTGGGCTAGACCACTTTTGACCCATGACAAGAAACTTTTAAAAATACTAGATCCTAGAATGGAAGGTCAATATTCATCCAAAGAGGCTATAAAAGCCGCTAATTTGGCTCATCAATGTATTAGTCAAAAACCCGAAAGGTAGACCGGCCATGGGTCATGTTGTTGAACTGCTTGAGTCTCTTCAGACCAATGACACTGTTGGTCTAGAAGAGACTCGAACACCAAGATCAGTGAAAAAAAGCCCCCAAAGGGGGCTTTGAAGAAACAAGAATTGTTGGGAAATGAATTCATGATACTGCATGTTTTTTACCCTTTTTCTTTTATCTATACTTGTCTTGTTTTGATTTTCTAGAAATAGAAGGTAAGTGTCGTTATGGGTTAATGAAAATGACAAATCAACTATACGTCCCTTTTATATTTGGGTCAAAATTTATTAATGTAATAGTATTTTTTTTAAGTTAAAATTTTGACTAAATTACGTTTTTTGTCCATGTGGATTTTTCGATTTTGGTGTTTTGTAATATTTTTGGTTATAGTCATTGGAATAGGGATGAAAAATATTATCAAAACCTCAAATAATGACAAAATTTTCTCATATTTAACACCTTTGTGTATAAATTATATAATGTCTGAATGATCTAAAATATTGAACATATCATCTGTTATTTACATATAACTCCTGAAAATAAACCTAATTCTTTATCGGTTTGCCAAATTTTAGATTCCAACAACTCCATTTTTTGAATTTTTGAAATTAATCGGAATGTTTAAGCTCAAGATATTTCATATATGCAAACTTGAATACCAAATTTAAACACTTAACAAAAACATAGTAGTAGAAATATTTATTGTAAATTATTAGAGATGTAAAAGGTGAGAACAAATCATTGCTTTTAAAATCATTACAGCATATAGAACAATTGTTGAGAGAATGGTTTAAAAAAACATTCTCTGCTACTAAAACAACTTTCTGTTTTTCTTTTTTTCTTTTTATATTCAGATAAAAAAAAACAATATACCACAAGCACAAACATCTAATGAGCATCCCTCACAAAGTCATCTCAGGAGCATTTTCCTGCACAAACAATAAAAATCAAAAATCAAATTCCAAGACATTTATTTAGAAATCTCCACTCATTTCACTAATCAACATATAAATTTTGAATATAAATAACAGTTAAATTCTTGCTTATCCAAAACATTTAGAAATGAAAATTTTGTTGCATAAAAAAAAGGAAGAACATTAACATTGTTGTATAAATAGGAGTTTACTTTACTTACCCCAAAATTGATGCATTTTTGTTACTAATTGTGTTATTGATCTTCTTGATGTAGTATTTGGTAATTCCATGTTCATAGCTTCCTGAATTGCATACAAAAATTCTCTCCTTGTTTTTGCAGTGAGTAGAAGGTGGTTTGATCCATGGACACCACTTAATTCCACCACCTAAATAACAATATAAACCTTAGACTAAAAATTATTAAATAGAAAAATGAATGTTCAAAACATGAAATTTGCAAAATTTGACTTTAGACATACTTTAACAAAAATTATACATAAGAATAAAACATGTGGGAACCTCTTTTTAGTAACTTATTTAGTAATAAAACATAGACGACAGTAAAAAAAAAACAAATACCAATGTAAAAAAGTTAACAAAAATTATACATAAGAATAAAAATTACCTGATGTAGCCAAGGGATTATCGAGTTCATAAACCGTTGTTCTGACAAGAATGTTGCCAAAGTGTTAACAATCACATTCACAGTCATGTGTGATAACTTTTCCAAAACGGGGCCCGTTTTGTCAAGAAGATATACTAATGCCACCTCATCACCCGAATTCAAGGCATCAACATAAGCAGCATCTAAATCTTTCTTTCTATTTATACTAGAGATGGCCTTTTGTGTGTCCTTGACTACATTGTTTCTACTTATGGGGTGCATCCATGAGTCTATGCCTTGGTTGGTTGAATTTCCGGATTTGCCCCTATAAAATGTGGAGTCTTCAGAAGCATCGGATTGTTTGGGGTGCTGTAATGGAGATTGTCTAGTGAGTGTATCCAGTGATTGCCTTGGAGTGCATGTTGAGGGTCTTGGAGAACTTTTTTTCAAAAAATTGGAGGTTGATTTTAAATTTCTTCCTTTATGATCATGAATGTTTTGTGCCATTTGATCCACTACGTGTTCCAAACTTGACACCTTTGATTGTATTATTGACAAGCTATCTATTGTCTTGCTAGTAAACCCCTGATAGAAAATACAACAAAAAGTACATTAACAGTGTCAGTGTCAATGTCAGTGTCAGTAACTGTAACAATCACTATGAGTGACTGTAACACTGACTATGAGTTACAGTGACTGTGACAATGACAATGACTGTGACTGTGACTGTACAGTGAAGTGAAGTGAAGTGACTGTAACTGTAACAGTGACTGTAACTGTAACAATGACTATGAGTGACTGTAACTGTAACTGTGACAGTGACAGTGACAGTGAAGTGAAGTGAAGTGACTGTGACTGTAACTGTAACAGTGAAGTGAATGTAACTGTAACAGTGACTGTAACTGTAACAATGACTATAAGTGACTATGACTGAGACTGAGACCGGGACTGGGACTGGGAATTAAGAAAGTAGAGAAAAGATTTTATGACCTTCAAAAGATGCAAGAGATTTGATTGTTTGTTATCTATATCCTGAAGCTTCTCTCGAAACAAACTTATTTCTTTTGTTGTTTGCATGCAACATCCATGAATAAATTCAGAAACCGATTCTCTAACATTCGATTCATTACTTTTATGATCCTCAATTTTTGAATAGTATCTCTGTTCTTCACTACTCATTTCTTTATCCACTAGTAATCGATTCACTCCCATCAATTTAGCTTCAAATTTTTCAGTGTCAATATTGGATGTGGAAGATAACTCATGTTTGTCATCCATGGGCACGTATTCATATCCAATATCTTGAGTACTTGTGAATGCTTTTGTAACAGAACTTCCTTCAGATTCTTCATCATGAGGATATAATAAAGAAATATTGTGGGTATTTGGGACACTGACTTTGATATTCCAATCATTTGGTTTGGAATTATGAGGACTCCCCACATTACTACTACTATCATTCTTTCTAACTGAAAATGGAACTCTTGTATCCTTCACTTTGGACTCACTATAATCACCTCCTGAAAGTTTTAGCTTAATGTTTATATTTTATTCGAAAACAAAACCAAATATGTAAGAAAATGTCATGAAGAAACAGTTCCAAAATCCAAACCTTTAATAGAAGATCGAGCTTCTGAGCATTCAAAAGCATCAGTTGCTTTAAGACTTCTCCAGAGCTTTAAGGCCTGCAGTACTGTGTCCCTAACTGGTTTGACCTATATGAGCAAATGGGTAGATTTGGAATAAGTTTTTCCAAAAAAAAGAAAAGAAAATTGTTGCATTTTTTGTGATAACTCAAAATAGAAGTGTTACATGTTGATTGAAGATTGAAGATTGAAGATTGAAGAATAACACAGACCTTGTCAAAGCGACATAATTCAAGGGAGTGTATAGAAGATGATTTGAAAGATCCAAAATATGATGAATTACTTGATGCAAATTCTGCTAATGCTAAAGATGCAGCTTTACGTGTACTCCAATCACTGTTCTTAAGAGCTTCTTGAATGCTAGTCATTGCAACACTTAAACTACTTTCTGTTGAGGCCCCTCCTGCCTGAAATTGAATAAGAACACTTAAAATCTCTAGCATTTAACAAAAAGAGTTAACTCAAAAGTCAAAACTGACCTGAATGATACTTCTGTTTAACTCAATAATGGCTGGTTTCACCATGAAGTGTGGATTATTGAGCAACTTTGTTGTCTTTATTAACATTCTTTGTAGAATAGACACTGGAGGATCCATTGCATTGTCAATCACCCGAGTTAAACATAGAGCAGAACCATTTTGAACATGTTTATTTTGCTCACATATTGCTTCAAAAAGAGGTTTCACTAAAACAACAAAATTTCCCTCAAAAGAAGTTAATCTGGATGCCAAAACACCCATGGTATCCACACAAGCATCTCTCACAACAGCATCAGGATCTTTTAGTCTTTTCACTATGCTACAAACCATTTTTCCTATGTGAGGACCAATGAGATCATGGTGGAAGGTTGCGAGGGTACCCATGAGTCTGATACATTCCTTACGAACAGCCTTTTTCTGCTCTGAATCTGTGTCTAAGATGCATGACAAAAATGGGGACACGTTTTCTGGAGTTAAACTTTTGATTGTTCTTTCAAGCTCATCAACCCCTATTTGGTATGTATCTCGATCAGATATCTTGTTTAGTGCAATTACCACGCGATGTTTTAGCTCAAATGTAGCTTGTTGGTTGTTAACCCTAGCGGTGGTTCCTCTCAATTTCAAATGCGCCTGCATCTTTTCGAGACGCTTGTGTTTACCTTATTAAAACTCCATTGAAACAGAACAAACTGCAGGGAAAGAGAAAGAACTCATTACGCAAAAGGGAATTGCTCGTGATACTTCATAAGAACACTGAATTCAATCGAAATTCAAAGAGAAGAGGGAAAACTTACATTGGAGTGTAACCGATTGCGATGTTCCAATCCATAAATTCAAACCCTACATAAACACAAATGAAGAAAAAAGTTGGTCAAAACGAGAGCGTAATCTACTTTAACGTTGATCCACATAGTAATTACCTTTAAATCAATCAAAAACAGTAAGATTTGTTTGTTGATTGTGATTACATAAGTTTAAAATCAAAATTGTGGATCTGATAAAGAAATTTACATCAGAAATGGGAATCTGTAATAAAGATGGTAGTCGAAGTTCGAGGAAATCATACCCCTTAATTATTATACTAACGTTGAATTCAAAAGGTGGTGTTCGTTTTTCTCTGTTTTCGCGCTTTTGAGAATCCACATTCGAATTTGGAGTGATATTTATGGAGTTGCTATGTGTCTCCTATTGTTTGTACGGTTCTCAGTGAAAATTCCTTTGTTTTAGAGTAAGTTACAAATTTGATCCCTAGGGTATACATATTTCTACAAGTTTGGTCTTAGTTTTGAAGTTTTGAAATTTTGACACCACTATCCTCACGGTTGGCAAATCCATCGTAGCTTTGATCCAATTATTGTCTAACCCATTGAGTACATGTAAAATGAGGAAATTACCTTTTATTATTATTATTATTATTAAATAAATAAATATACCTATAACCACACCCACCTTTGAACTTGTCCGTGTCCATTTTCTTGTTTTTTTGAGAAGTAAACCAAGAGCAAAACCACCATCTAAAAAGTGATTTGACTTATTAAGATAATTAATTTTTCGGTTTGTTTACATGTGGGTAGCTATTTTTTTTTTACACATCTAAGTAACAAACTTTTTGGAAATGTTCACATATGACCATTATGATCGGCTGTAGCAGGTTACTGTTTTTTTAAACTTTTTTGTACACGTCTAGGAAACAAACTTTTTTTCTTGTTCACATTTAGGTAATTTTTTTGTACCACACCATTTTGGTAAATATATTTTTATGATACACTACTTTAATAAAAAATAAATAAATAAATAAAACCCTCAAGATTTGACAAGAAAAAACACATCGTCGTTTTATAGAAGTAACTTTTATCTTAAGGCCTAGATACTCGGGGCGGTCCGGATAGACTATAGGCCCTGCAAGACAGTCCAGTCATGTGGAAGGCCTAGAGAGCGGTCCAGATAGGTTGTAGGCCCTACGAGACGGTCCGGTCATGCTGAAGGCATCGCCATGACCGACTCCGACAAGCTTGACCGACTAGCATTAATCATATACAGTAAGAGGTCGGCTAGTGCCAAGGCACCGCCATGCTGACCAAAAACGACTCCCAGCATGTCGTGACCAATATAATGCTCATAAATGGTCATAAATATTGTTTTAAGGAAATTTAACGGAATCTATTAATATTGCAAACATTATGATCGATTATCTTAATGAAAATGGAAATTGATTTATCAGGATAATTGCCTTTTCGTTTTTTTCATATTTGGGTAACTTTTTTTTGTATACATTTAGGTAACGAACTTGTTGAAAGTGTTCACATATGATCATTATGATCAGATGTAACCTGCTATAGTCGGTCATAATAGTCATATGCGAACACTTCCAACAATTTTGTTACCTAGATGTGTAGAAAAAAAAATTAGTTACCCAGATATAAACAAACCGAAAAGTTAATTACCTTAATAAGTCAAATTCTCATCTAAAAATGCCATCAATCATCTAAACTAGATATCCACCACATAAAATTGTCATTCACCCTCCTCCTCATTCAAATATTTAGCTATAAACAAAATAAAATTAAAATCACAATTCAAACCCATAAATCAATCTCATATCCATTTTATTTATTAGTCAGATTTAGTAAAATACTAAATAATTGATTATTTATCTTTTTATTTTAACTGGTCAACGATAATTTATCACGTATAAATATATTATTTATTTCCAAATTCTTTTTATAACTCTTAGTGTGTGACATCATAGTCTCTGAAACATCCTTTGTATCGACTATTTGAGATAATCATTTTAATAAAAATTTGTAAACAATGTGAAATAAGGTTCACAATTAAAATCATTTAAGAAAAATCATAAACGGTCTAGTCATTAACATTTAACATTTTTAAAGGATCAATACATATTAGGGTTTAACAAATTAATCAACAAAAAAAGGTAAAGTAAACAAAATAACATAAATCTTGTAACACCCCGATTATCAGGTATTAATATTATGGCTTTAATTTTCAAGTTTCAAGGTCTACTCGACGAGTTGGATGCCCTGACTCGTCGAGTAGCAGCAGGTTTGGGGCCACGTGTTAAGTGACCAACTCCCCGAGTCAGAAGAGTGACTCGACGAGTTGGAGCTGGAGGGTGAAACCCTAATTTTCGGGGTTTTGCACCCTATTTAAGGAATCATTAGCCTCCCTTAGTCCCTTACAGCCCCTGTGAGTCCAGAAACCCTAAATCTCCATTTTCTCTCCATACTTGTGTGTTTAAGCTTGAAAGGTGGATCTTGGTGAGGAAAGGCTTGAAGATCAAGAAGCTTTGAGCAAAGAACAGTTGGGGATCTGAAGTCTACCTCAGTTTATCGTCATTTGAAGGTATCAAGTTATCACCTTGAGCTTCTTCTAGCTAGATCCCTTTTATATTTGAGTTTTGGGTCCATTTTGGGGAATTTGGTGTTGCATTTCGAGTGATGAACCAAGATCTGAAGTTGCAACTTCAGATCTAGGCTCATCTTGGCTCTTATCATCATAAAGTCTCAGTATTTAGCATGTTGGTGAAGCTCTTTTGCCTAGAACCTCTTCTTTAGCTTGATTTAAGTCATTAGCACATTGCATGCACGTAAAGTTTGCAACTTTACGTGATAAACATGCCCTAGGAGCTTGGATCTGCAGTATGGAGCCTTGGCATGGCTTAAAAAACATCTGTATGGATGAAGGACCGAAGGGACTCGACGAGTGGCATGGTCGACTCGGCGAGTTCGATGAAGATTGACGTAGACCCGGCGAGTCATTAGAATGACTCGGCGAGTCCGATGAACATTGCCTTGGGCTCGGCGTGTCAGACGAGTGACTCGGCGAGTTGGCAAGTTATGCAAGGAATTCGGCGAGTAGCTGAGGGTACTCGACGAGTTGAGGTCAACATGGACTGTTGACCTTGGCAGTTGACTTTGACTTTGACTAAGGGTTGACCAGTTGACTTCTGAGGGTATTTTTGGTAAATTGGATATTATAGCAAAGGACATTGGTGAATATAGGTGTTGGAGTTAGAGTTACATTTGGAGGAGTTTGACACTATCTTCCGAGCTACTTGCGAGGTGAGTTACCCTCACTATACTAAGGGGTCTAAGGCACCAAGGCCGACCCATTGGATTTGATATCCTAGTAGTTATTGATATGTTGAGTTTGAACTAGTAATGTATGACAGTGGTATGCTAGTCTGGTAGATCTATAAAACTACCTGTGATTTTGTATGATTATTTGTATGTGCATTAGTTATGGTATATGTCGACATATTATGTGAGATGGGTTGAGGAGATACTGCTCCGTGCGGTAATCAGAAAACCTGGGAGCATTCCAGATACGAGCCAAGGGAGACTCGTACTGTGGGCTCGGTGGCAATCCAGATGTGAGTTGTGGGCCCGTAAGGCAATCCAGACTCACACTGTAGGCCCAGGGGTAACCCAGTCTGTAAAGCTGTGGACCCAGTATATGTTGTAATTTGTATATGTGTTATGTGCAGTGTATCAGTATTTTGGGGGAACTCACTAAGCTTCCGGGCTTACAGTTTTAGTTTATTGTTTCAGGTACATCGGGGGATCGCGGCAAGGCGAAGGCATGATCGTACAGCTCCTCATGTTTTATTTATGTTTCTGGGAAAAACTCTGATATAGACTATTTTGAAAACAAGTCTGTAATAACTGTGGGTTTTAAATGTTTTGAAAAGTTCAAATTTGTCTTGAAATTTTTGGGTGTTACAAGTTGGTATCAGAGCCTTGGTTTGAGTGAATTGGAGGAACATTCGTGTGAATCCAGTCTCAAACTAAGGAAAAATATTTTCAAAATACTTTTAAATGGTTTTCAAAATAAGTAAATGAGGATGCAGAGTGTACAATCAGCCGGAGCCAGTAAGTAGACCCCAAAATACCATACAGTTATTTGATATTATGATATGATAGAACAGCATGCTAGTACTAGGCTAGGGATCCTCAGGAATTGCATGGTAGAATTTCTTGATTATGTGATATCTGCTAGCCTAAAGTTTTTCTCTATATGAGATTGACATCATTACTGTAGTTACTTGTGTATGTATCACGGTTGTACATAATTAAGATCTTATAACCTGAGAATGTTTGATTTGACCTTATGTTCTATTCTTATTGATTAGGGCTTAGGGTAGGATCGGATATTTGAAAGTCTATTTGGGTCCAGCGTTATGTATGGCTAGCATACACTAGTGCTACATGGTTGGTGGAAGTTTCATGGATGAGTGAGTTGTGTGAGATCGGTAGGTCAGTTGTGAGGCAGTTAGCCTTCCTCTAGGAGTGAGGATCGAGCGCTCGCTATGCTTATGTATATTGTTAAGGTGTTGTGGTGATACTTGAGACAAATATGGGTAGGCGTAGAAGGTAGTATGGGCCCGTACTACTGAAAGCACAGGACCCATACGCGTATCAAGGAAGTCACGACCCCTAGGGTTTAGTCGGGAGTTGGTCTAGTTATTTATGTGGATTATCTGATATCTTGTGGTATGTTTCAGAATTGTGATGACGAGACGCTTTGTGACTAGATCCGGTTCAGGATCAGGATCAGGAGACGAAGGCGAGGAGGGGCCAACAACACCTGAGCCTGTGGTACAGATGGGTACAGAGGAGTTGGATGCCAGGATTCGGGAGATCCTGCATGATGAGGTTGCTGCTATGTTCCGGGCACAGCTTTCGGAGATGTTTGGGTCTATTAAGACCACTATGGTTGAGTACTTCGACGAGCGTTACGCAGCCCTTGTAGAGACGGCTACCGCTGCAGCTGCCTCGGCCGTATCAGCGACAGGAGGAGGTGGAGCTAGTCGAGGCTTCCAGTACAGGGACTTCGATAACACGAAGCCCCCGACATTCGATGGTACCCAGGATTCGATTAGAGCCATGAGGTGGTTATCTGACGTGGAGGGTTGTTTCTTCACGTGTTCATGTCCTGCTGACCAGAAGGTCAGGTGTGCCCTGAACATGCTGAGGCTCGGGGCCAAGGACTGGTGGAGGTTGACGACAGGTTCGTACACTGATGAGCAGAGAGCTGCTATTACTTGGGAACAGTTCAGGGATATGCTCCGCGCCTGATACGTCCCACGGGTCGAGC